GCAAAATTATAGTCCACAGTACTTAAGAGGCCTTTTTACAAACACTATGTATGCAGCAGTCAACACTCCACTATTAACTAGCAGGAATCACTTCAAGAACACTCCGTATAGGTCCAAGAAGTAGCTGAACTGAAGTAGAGACTCGTACCACTGAGTCTAAACATGTTTTGGCCACTTGGCAGTCCAACAAGATAAGAACATAACCCAGAAATCTCTGAGTTAAATCAATCCAGCAAGAGCCGAACAGTAGAGCAGATATAGAGGGGTTTCAAGTACTTTAACAGCTCCCCAAATCAGAAAAAAATAACCCAGCAATAACTCAGCAATAACTGAAGCAATTTACAGTTGTAGGAATCTCTGATTTGAGCTTCAAATCAGGCCGAACAATCTATCTCTCTGATTCTTCCTAGTCACCGAACTATTCTCCAATCGAATAGAATCTTGGGAACCCTCCAATGACCTCCAAGAGTCAGGCAAATGAGTCTAAACTTCTAGCCCTAGAATACCTCCATGCAGTCGGCTGGACTATAACCACATGAGAGCCATGCCAAGCTCAGGCCTGCTCCGATACTAAGTTGAAAAACAGCCCTAGAAGTATGGGACTGTGCAAGAAAACCAGAAAAAACAATCAATAGAAGATTAGAGAATGAGAGAGAGAGAGAGCTGCGGAAAGGAGGGATAGAGAATGAGAGGTTCGAACTCAACCTCCCTTTAACACTCTAATGCACTTTTATTAAGTTAATCTTTGAGTAATTACAAGAGAGGTCCTTGGTTGGACAAGAAATTACAAAAACAGAGCATAGAAGAGTATGGGCCCAGAATAAGGCCCATTACAGAGAAGAACATAAAGATAACATAGAGTAACAACCTATGTCTGTTACTCTATGTTTCGAAAAAGAGCATAGAATGAGAGGTTCGAATGGCCCATCTTCTCTACAAACCTTATGTTTGTTAGTAGATTAACCAAGTCACTTAATTGTTCCATAACCTTTTATCCCTCTTCTTGTGTGTTTCAGGATCTCAAGATGGGGATGAAGATTGGTGGAGGGCATGAGGCAGGTGGATTGTATTACCTTGATGGTGGTGGCCCTCCAGTAGCTTTTTAGTCTTCTCTTACTCCTCTTCAATGGCACTGCAGACTTGGTCATCATTCTCTCAAGGCTCTGAAGTTGATGGTTCCTTCCTTGAGTCATCTTTCATCTTTGGATTGTGAGTCATGTCAGATTTGGAAACAGCAGTCTCTTTTAGTCAAAGAGTTGATAGTTGTGTCTCGAGTCCTTTTTCTTTAGTTCATTCTGATGTTTGGGGTCCAATCAAAGTGATGTTATACAATGGCTATAAGTATTTTGTAATTTTTGTTGATGACTTTTCAAGGATGATATGGATTTATCTTATGAAAGATCACAATGAAGTGTTATCTATTTCTCAAAAATTTTATGCTGAAATACGTACCCAATTTGGTGTTCATATTAAAATTCTTYRCTYCGATAATGCCAAAGAGTACACCTCAATACCATTTCAGCAATACTTAGAGCACCATGGGATAATTCATCAAACTTCTTGTGCCTACACCCCACAACAGAACG